CATTGAGGTATTCGATATTTTTAATCATAGTGAATACCCTTTCTGAAACGTATGACAATTGCTAAAAAAAATCACCGGTAAGAACGATTCAGGATGGTTTAGAACGGAAAAGTTGAAAAAATTAATATGGTTAAGTTAAATAAACGATATTTTAAAAACAAAGGCAAATATCAAAATTTTGAGAAATAGGTTTCTTAATAATATGTCAATGATTAAAGTGAACTAAACAAATGAAACTTCAAATGATTATTTTTAAAATTATGCACCTTTGAATGTAAAAATCGGTGAGCCATTAATAAATAATTCCGAAAATGGGCGATTATTAGTACGCTACTGGACACCACATTATTTTAGTATTTTTTTCTCCAATTAAAATAAACCAGGATATCGTGGGGTATATCAAACAACAGCATAAGATGCAAGATTTATTGTACAGGATGGTTTAGGTGCTTAAAATTTGAAAAAAGTGGAGGTTATGAAAAAAAGTCGATATTTTTAAAACTAAGGCAGGTATAAAAAAATTGAGAAATTACTTTTTTTGCAGAAGATCATTGATTAAAACGCCGTATAGAAATTAAATTTAAAAAATTATCTGAGAAAGTTACACACATTCAAAATTGGGATGAAAATCATGGACTCTTTTAACACCCTGTATAAAAAAAAGTAGACATTTAAAAAAATTTCAAAATAGCAATTTTTTTCACAAAAAGTCAATCTGTCAGCCCGTGAAAACCGAAGGTCGATATCTAGTCTGGTTCCAAAAATATCGATCTTGAAAGTTAGGCGATATTTCCCTTGTTCGAAAGCAATTGTTCAGCAGTTTAGATTGTAACTTTGAACTCAATGCGCCCATTTGACACGTATTTGCAAATAGTTTATACAAACGGTATGCCGTAATGATGAACATGTAAAGCTGCTTATTGGTCGGCGAATTCGGAATATTATCGACAAATTTACCAATTAATTTTGGGTCTTTAACGCCTCTCCAAAGCGCACACAGTACTTCACAGTGCAGGTCGTCATGTTGCGTACAACGTAACCAACTAGAAAAAACCTCACTATCAACTTGTTTCGGTAATCAGACGCTGTGAATGATCAAAGATCGTTTAGGATGCATCGACCATAGAGTGAAACTATAACAGAATATGATCAAGAGCCATACTGAATACATTTTCGATCTTAACATAGATTGGATATTCTAACGACTTATTATCATCGTTTATCACACAGACCTCAGCGATCGGGCAGTTACAGAGTCTACAAAGGCTGGCTTGTCTATGTATCAGGGGGGGGGGCATGAGAACCACTCCATGCGTGTATACAGCCTTAGAGGTACTGCTCAAGCAGGGCCAGGCTCCAATCACTGGCTAGCCCAACAGCATTGGAAAATCGAAGAGAACGAGGAAGCGTTTGCCTTGTTCCATATGCTCTCGGACAGGGTGACCCCTCAGTTCGTATTTAGAAGGCACTCTGCCGCTGAATCGGACCCGTGTAGTGTTGCATTACAAATTTTAAATTGCTTTCACACTAGTGATGATTATACGAACAGTCTCTTCGTAATTTGCTCTGACTCGCACCCATGTCTATTTTCTAGTCGTCTCAACTTGGGCTGACGAGAAACGTTTTATACTTGAGGTTTATCGTCCCCAAACTGAGATTGTGATTATTCACAGGACTCTATCTCGGCAACCTATAAATATCAAGTTGTTCAGTATTTATAGCAACTCGTATATCGATTTCAAAATTGAATAGAGCCAATGCGAATGGTTTCAGTTGTTTCCAAAATCTATTTGGACAACCAAAAGTTGCTATACACAGTTTAACTTTGAAAGCGGATGGGTGGAACGGTTCGGATTCGATTACGAGTTAACCGATGATGGAGAGTCTGATGGTAGGATGGAATTGATTCATTTGTTTAAGCGGTCCATGGGCACCATTAAACCACGTTTATTGTACAATAAGAACGTCGACTGGGAAAAAATGTAAAGTTTCCAATTGTAATGGTTCTCAAATGCGCTCAAGAAACGACGGAGACGCTTGAAACGAATAAGGAAATCTTTACTTTCGGCCCGAGTTTTAGCCAATTACGTGACGTGCCCATCGATAGTACGACCTTTACTCGTTACCGAACCCATTTACAAAGAAGTAGAATTCTTGGATTTTGGACCCCTGTATCCCCTCGTACAGTACCGAAATCTTTTACTACACTACCTCTTGAATATGACAATGTGAAAATCAAGTACGATGGGACAAGTAAACTTTTAACCGTGTACAGCGGTTCCCTTAACGTCGAATTGGAAATTGATCAATTCCAACACTTTATCTTACAGTGTGAAGAGGTGGTCTGCTCAAGAGATGATAACCAATCAAGTACCGAGCTGATTTTAACGGACCTTTGCATGGTCAGGAATTTTAGTACTTGCTCCAATTTACTTTACGGTACCGTGAAACCCCTGTGCGACCGAGGGCCACGGTTATTTTCTATTTCGATTCGCGATAGCAACTTTTGGCTGCAACATTTTCCTGACCGAATTGGACAAGTTTTCGTTAGCAGACCAATGCCGAAAACGAGTACCTCGACTTCGATACCATACCAGGTATGCCATCTGATGGCTTGCTCGGTATCGGGAGAAAACTATATCAAAAAATTAAACCGTACCAGACCGTTGAGCTGTTGCACAAGAACGGGGAATTATTTGCAATGGAACGATCGTTGAAACGATTAAAGTTGAAGGTAGACACCCGAAACTTACCAAACGGAATATTAGAATTCGCTGTAATGGATCGTTACAAATGTCTCAAATTTGTACGAATACGCAATGATAAATATGAACCCGACTCCTATTTGAAAATCGTTCAGCTCCTGAAGCTCAATATTGTCGATATCGTTTAAGAGGCTAAATAAAAATACACAAGTACCATTGAGCGTTTTATTCAAATACATAAACATGTACTTTTGTTAGGTAATACTAATTTATTGAACAGGTAAGAAGGCATACAACGATGATTATGGCGATACAAGTCTGTTAAACTATCGTTGCGATTTATGCAATACGTATACATTTGGCTTTGTTACGTAAAAATTGTTGATTGTACACGTAGGGCATACATCGATCACAGTAACACCAACCCGCTGAGTTTGTCCTCTTCTTTGTATACTTTTCCAGGTCGTCTACATTTTTAATTTCAAAGTTACGTACAACCAAAAAACGTATTCCGTTATTGTACAAGCATATGGAGCAAACGGCCTTGTCGCCCTGTGCCTTTACGTTCGTTTTCTTTCCATTAACGTGAACGTGTTGATTTATCACCGGAAATGTTCCAAGTTCCGATGCAAGTTTATAGAAGCTCTCAGGTTGACACTTTAACCAGCCCCCGTTTTTATTGGTCCTCCGGTAAAAGCATTTATATGAAAGAGGTTCTTCTAATGCTTCAAGTACGTCGTTCTTTGCTAATACGTAGAATTTTTGGTTACTACCATCGAGATTACATCTACTCAATAAATTCCACTTATTTGCGGTGGAACAAAATTTCGTAGAAGCCCGCCTCCTGGAAATGCGTTCTAAAATATGACAAGAACGAATTGAAGCTTGCTCGAAAATACTGACTGAGCGGTTCTTCGTAAACTTGAGCTACCGTAAATTTATTGTACTGCAACGAAGAGAAGAACAGAAAGCCTCCGTCGCCGATCATCAGGATAATTCGATTATTGTTATTCAATACAGCAAAGGAATTGAGTAGCGCTGACGACGATTGTTGAATTGTCTTTTTTCTTACGGCGAACATATTTAGAAACTTTAAGTCTTGCTCGCTAGAATCGATTGATGGAAACGAACCGCATTTCGGCGACGGTTTAAAGAACGGTACCAACCGTGGCAGACGATTTAAAATTGAAAGTATCAAGTCTTTATAACACTCGTTTTGCAAAGGCAGTTTTTTGATCAACTCGAATATATAGGACTCTGCTCTAGAAAAAGGTCTATCATTATCGACGTGGGGCAGGTCGAGGAATTGAAACGAACTGGCCAAATAACAATTAGGCGATTTTCGATCGGCTTGCAGGAGACTGTTGAAAAATGTAGAGTTGTAATCTTCGGTAAGATTTGTTTCGAGCTGCTCTTCATCGTCGGGGCAACTTTCGTTAAGTATGGTACTTTTCAAAAGTTTTCCAAATTGCAATTGGCTGTAGTGATTTGGGTTAGCCGGTTCGGTTTCGTTTCTTTTTCGTTTCGTCGTGAAAAAAACCACTTTCAGCTTAACATAATCCATCACTCGTACCGGTTCCAAGCTGGTAGAGAACGCTATGTACACGTCCACATTATCATCCGTTGTCCTAAGCTGAGCATTGTCGTCGGAACGAGTGGCTAACGTTGTGTAATCTTCTCCGCTTTGTGAATTGAAGGAATTCAACCAATCAAGTACCCAAACACGATCTTGTATCGATTGAGGTAACTTGGAGATGGTCCGACGTACGATCTCAATACAATGATCCAATCTATTAGGATCGTAAATGATCAGTAACAGATCCTTTTGCAATACGTATTTAGTGTTCAATAATACGGCTGCCCAGTAGTTTAATTTCTCCAGCTGCGTTCCTTGGTTTTCGTGCGTAATGTTTAAATTACAACAACAAAATGCGTGAGCATATTCCGTCCTCGTTAGCGTTAGAGTTTCGCCCAATTGATTATATTCAAGTCCAATATCCCATTTTTCGATAATAGGGTTTGCCATGGAAAAACAAAAACATAAATGACAAATTACCCGACGACCCGTGAAAACTTTGACGTTGAAATGAGTTCTCACATTGGTATAGAGTATAGACGGAAAGGGCCACAAGTTCCCGAAATCCATTGATTTGAACTGCATCTATAATTTGTTCACCCATACATTCCAAATGTGTTCCGACTGAGGATTTGTAAGTTCCCTCTATAAACTGATGGCATACGCCGCAAATGTCATTAGATTCGACCCGGACAACAGTTATAAGGTTCATTTGAGTTATGGCCGCAATCTCTTCGCACAATCCCTCTATGGAGGTCGACATAGCTCCAGAGCTTCAACAGATTTTAACTTTAGCAAAGGAAGCCGTGCAAAACGAAACTGATGGCCTCTATAACGATTCAGCGCTTTTATGGCGACAGGCCGCCAGTATTTTAGTGGCATACGCTAATGCAAATATTGATCCCGATGAAGTGGGAATTGTTACAAAGGTAAAATCGTTAATCGGTTGGTTAGTATCACGAGCAATAGAAAACAACAATGTCAAGCAACTAGCGCCCAATTATACAAACAAAGGCGTTTACTTTTTCTTTACTACCAATTTGTTGAGTAAAATAGAGCCAGCGATAAAGAGACGTTATTATGGACTGTTTATTGGCTATCCAAAAACTAAAGAAGCTATTACATCATTATATCGTCACAACTTGGCCAATTTTAAGAATACTGTTAGCGAACAAACCATAGAAACTTTAGCAACGGCCAATGATAAACTTCTCTCGCCTAGCGCCATTGCGAGCATAGTCAAATTAGCTTCCACTTTGGCCAATAAGATTACTACGAATGATAAGTTTCGTAGAGTAGGAAATCACTTGTACATTAAAGATCCCAATGGTTCCTATACGTTTGCCGATGTTTCTAAGGAAGAAGGAAAACCTATCACAAAGCACATTTTAGAAATTGTACCCATTAATGATAATAATCTGATAAATGCGTGGCGTGCTACACCATCTGCCATTACGGCTGAGGAACTAGAACGTTATAAAGATGAGGCCAATTGTAAAGTTCGATTTTGGTTGAGAAAATTATACACATAATTGTTTTAAGGTGTTTATTTGACAGAAAAAAGGTTATTATTTTTTTAAAGTAAGTACCTGTTGGACAACGAGCTGGTCGAATCGTCGTCGAATCGTCGTCCAACAGGTGCCCAATCGTCTTCTTTCTTCTGTCTTCTTTCTTCTGTCTTCTTCTCTTCTTCTGTCTTCTCTTCTTCCGCCATCTTCTCAAAGCTTGGACTGGCTCGTTCCTTGCCTTCGAGCCAGTAAAAGCTTTGAGGCAGGGCAGGGTGGCACCCCGTCGTCCCAGTCTTCGTCTTCTTCTTGCACCGTGGCCTCCGTGGCCTCTGGGATTGGGACGGGCTCGTCCCAATCGTGGCACTCTGGCACCTTTGGCACCTCTGGGACTGGGACGGGCTCGTCCCAATCGTCGCACCAATCTGCCGGCGTGAAGTAATTTACGGTGGGCGGCTCGTCGGGCCACTCGTTATTTTGCAGCACAGGTGCTGCAACACCGGCGGCCCATTGATGTTTGCGGCCGCCTCTGCGCCGCCTGGACTTTTTCACCTCTGATGCTGCTGGTGGTGGCGGCGGCGGCGGCAAAAGAAAACAAACCGCCACCGTATAGACGGCAGGGACGGCCGAAGCTGGGGGCCACGGAAAACTCGGAAAACTTGCTGACATTTTTCGTTACGGTAGGTACGGTACGGTACTTATTCAAAGCGTAAGTAGAAACTGACTTTTTTCATTAACCGCCGGCCGCTTTTATGCAGCTCGCGCATGGTGCATCGAATCGGTGGGGAACGTCCCACCACCACTATAAGTGATGCAATATGTATAGATTCCAACAAAGGTGCTTGAGTCATCAAAATAATAAAGCACGAATGTCAGAAGAGTTTATGTTTAGCAGGAAATTTGCTATCGAAACCATGATAATGCCTCCTCAGCCCACAGAAACAAATATTGTGGATATATTGATAGGTTGTTTTTACCGTCCCAGTTATATATTGACAAATATTATTCGCCAGTGCGTAGATATTGGTTTGGGGTTAACCGAGATTTGGTACAAGTAACTTCCCTGAGAACCTGGTTTCAAAAACAACTTGTTTTGCTATTCGTTCCTGATAAGATGAACGTGAAAATTGCAGAGTTTTCGATGGACTTTGTGAAAAAAACAGATTTAACGGGAGCTATATACTTGGAAAACCTTTTTCTGTGGTACATATTAAGGCGACACGTTAATCTAGACACCAAAGAGGGTTTAGCATTCCTACCATCGCTCTACAGGGGCATGATGACTAGCGATTCTATAATTTTGCCAAAAGAGCTAGATGTGAATCAAAGCGATCGCTATTCTATGCGCGTGCTAGCCGCAAATATTTGGAACGATACCTTAGGTACCCCGTTTCAATTCAACTTTGGGCCTTGTTGTAAATATGCCTTAATGTGCGATTTTCCCCGAAAACTCTCCGTCGAATTTCGACCGGTGCCACATTTCCGTTTCAAATCGGATTTCTATTACATGGAAAAATTCCGATCGCAAGATCTCAATTGGTATAGATTCAGGTCTACGGTATTACCTATACCTTGGACGGGTTTGAAGTCGGGAGAATATAAAATGATCGATGGATCGAAAAACATTGATCCGATTTACCCACCAACTTGGTCCGTGCTCAAAATGTTGTTTATAATTCACGAAAACGAAACGCTTCTGTATATTGTCGGTAATGAAGGTTTGTGGCTACGTAAACGGTCATCCCTATCATTACCCGGATTAGTCATGGAAATTGATAGTATATGCCGTAATCGAATCAAAGCAAAAACAGGCCTGGGAGAAACATGGCTTTTCGAAATTAACGAAACCGAATTATCTACCTGCGACAACATGATTTCAACTAAAGTGGAAAATGGTAAATGCTTTATTACGGTGAAAAAGGCACGCAACCAAAAAATAACATCCTGCCATTTGAAGTACAATACCGACAACCGTTCGCAGATCTTGTTTTCCTATCAAGATGGTATTGCTACCATTGACGGTTTCCAATTTTCCTGGTGATATATTTGCGTGAACGATTATGCGTCGCTTGATGTGCTTCCACTGCTGGCAGATACACCTACAAGTGGCATCTTAGCGATGATATTTTCATCGTCCGTTTCAATATCATCATCAAGCTCGAATAAAGAATCGCCATCATCACTTGACGCATGATTTTGTTCAACGGGCTCTTGTTCTAAACCTAAACGTTTTTCGGCAGGTTGATCACCACGTATTTCGGCTTCCGAGGCAAACTGATTTTCCGTTTCGATGGTCAGTTCTGCATGAGGCTGCTCAGTTGCTGCTTGAGGCTCTGTTCCTGCTTGAGGCTCTGTTCCTGCTAGAGGCTCTGTTCCAGGTAGATTGGATAGAATTTCGTCGGCCGCTTCTGGAAACTCTTTTGTCAATATGTTTTGTAAAGAGCTGTGTTGCATTTGCGACGTTGAAATGCTTGGTTCACTCAAAGAGGAAATCATGTCTTTAGGTCGCGTGAAATTTGCGTTTTTATGTTGTCATTTAGTTCGCATTTACTATGGGCAACATCATCGGTACAATACATTTTAGAGGGTGTAGAGCTGTGTGCACGTTGAGGAGTAATGAAGAATGAAAAAGTTTGTATTTCGTGCAAAATTCTTCAAAACATTCTTTGAAAACGCTCAAAAAAGTCAAAACTAAGATCAAAAATAAGGACCTGATTGTAACAAAGGCAGACAAGGGAAATTGCCTTGTGGTTCTCAACAAACATGATTACATTTCTAAAGCAGTAACTTTCCTTCAGAATAATAATTTCAAGATTTTACAGTCGAATCCACATAACACTTTCATTAAAAAAACTAAGAAACTTATAAAACATTTCAGTCAATTTTTTCTAGAACACAATGCTCCTAAAACACTCATGTCAAGTAATCCAAATTTACCAAGAATCCAAAAATCCACAAGGTTGACACTCCAATAAGGCCAGTAGTAAGCTTTTCCAACACACCAGTAGCTATTCTCTCTTCATTCATTCTCAACTTGATTAAAAATCTATCTTCATTTTCACCTAAATTTGGGGTAAGTAATTCAATCGATTTAATTAATAAATTGTCCAACTTAAATCTACCCAACAATTTTTTAGTAGTTTCTTTCGATGTTACCAATCTCTTCACAACCGTCCCAAAGAGCGAAGCTGTCAATATCGTGGGTGACCTCTTAAGATCAAAAAATGTTACTGAAACTACTGTTATCAATGTACTTTCACTTCTGAATCATTGCCTTTTGCAAAATTATTTTTTTTTCAATAACACCGTGTATCAACAACCTGATGGGCTCGCCATGGGAAGTTGCCTGTCACCTTTCTTGGCCGACCTTTTCATGGATTTCTTGGAAAACCAACATATAATCACTAACTCCAATAAAGAGATTCTACACTGGTTTAGGTATGTTGATGACTGTCTTTGTTTTCTGGATGGTAACCACAATCATGCTGATTTTCTCCTTCAAAAATTGAATGCAATACACCCTAAGATCTCATTCACTCTCGAGATTGAACACAATAACACAATCAACTTCTTAGACATTACAATTCACAAAAAACATTTCAATCAACTGAATTTTTCAATATTTAGAAAACCGACACAAACTGATCACACCATCCCTGAAAGTTCTAACCACCCTCGACAACATAAACTTGCAGCCTTCCATTGCTACATTAACAGATTACTAAACATACCCCTCTCATAAGAAGAGTATTCCAACGAAGTTAAAATTCTCAAACAACTAGCATATAATAACGAATACGACCCAAACTTAATTGACACCCTCATAACAAAAACTAAATATAAAAGATTGAAAAAAGAGTTATTTCCTACCCTGAATAAGCCAATAGAGAAATATATTGCTATTCCTTTCTTGAATCATGATTTGAATCTTAAAATCCTACAGGTCTTTCACCAAAATGTCAACAACAACATCAGAATCCCTTTCAAATACAAAAATAACCTGTCTTCCTTTCTGGTCAACTCCAAAGACAAAATTGATCACCTGTCCAAGAGTGGAATATATAAATTAAACTGCAACTCCTGCAATTGCACTTACATTGGGCGAACTTGCAGACCTCTCAAGATTCGAATACAAGAACATCTTACAAAAACTACCTCTGCCTTTGGTGAACAGATTAGGACAACTAAGCATAATTTCAGCCTCAGGTCAAATTCGAAAATTCTTCACGAAATTCGCTGTAAAAACTTCAACCGTTTGGATTTTATGGAGGACATTGAAATCAGAAATGAACTTCAGGACAACTTCTCTTGTCTCAACACTCAGGTGAACCTTAATAGATCTTATATCCCCTTACACAGACGTCTTTTGAATCTCAGAGTAACACTGCATAAATAGAGAGGGCAAGTCATTCATAAAATCGTTTGGTTTCTGCGGCCAACAATCCTAAACGACAATAGTGAATTAATGAATGAACTACATGAAGTGGGGATAAGATTGCGGACAATGCGGGCCAATTACAAACAAAACCCGTTTGACATTTCTTACTATGAATACTAGAGCGCATTCGCAATTATGGTCGGGCTTGCTCTGGCAATATTTGCATCCTTCTTTATCTGGTTATCTTAACAAAGATAAAACGATTCAGGTGGGCGTTCCCAGACGAATACAACCAGGTTCCGAGATTTTAGGCAGTGTTGCCATTTTCAGCTAGCACAAATTCTTATTCAAATTTTATTGTGATAATAGATTATTATTTTATATAATAATTATTCCTATTCAGTTTTGGAAAGCACCGCGATATTTTGTGTTATAATTGTATATACATATTGTAAATACATACCTAGGTTTTTATATTTACAATATATTCTTTTCAATTTCCAATTCCATTTTCCCTGCAACTTAGGATAATTTATAAATATGGCACATCTACAGTAAGTGTCCGCAAGTGAGCTTAGAATGGGAGTCAATGTTTGGGGCATTTTTTAATCATAATAAACCTATCTATTTCATGTGTTAATCTGAGTTTTGAATTAAATCAAAAAAACCAATAGAGGATCTTAATTAAATCAATTTATTCAATTATTTTACTTAAAAAAATTTTCATCTATTTCAACTTAAACTCATATATCCTATTTCCACTCTATGATGATATAAGGGTAGTCTACACGTTGTGGACGACTAGCTCGTCATCTACACTACAGGTCACACCACTTAGCTATGTTGTTTTTCACTATAAACATCTTAATTCTCCAAATATTGTTTTAAAAAACGTTGGTAATGGTTTTGGATTTTATAAACTTTTATTTTTCGAACTTCCCGCTCTTGTCAGCTACACTGACTTACTTGTCATGTGTCACTCTAAAGGGAAACCACACCAATTTGAAAAGACACAGCCTTTGCATAGAGTACCAGTAAAAACCAAAGATCTTCCGATATTTTAAAGTGTTAATTTTTAATTTGTAATGTGATGTTTTCGTTCCTTTACACCTATATGTTTAACGAGAAGACTCTTTGTACAAACCTGACGAAGTGAGTAAATCTACTTTCTTTAGTAATTATTTTCTTTCTTTTTGATTATTTTAAATTAATTTAGATTAAATTTTCCAAGATTTTTCAGATAATTTTCAAAAAATTTCAAAAAAATTCAAATTTTCCAAAATTTCCAAACTTTCATAAATTTTTCATTATCTTCAGAAAGTGTTTTTCCTTACTTTCAGGTTGCACTGATGATGGCCACGGCCGAAAGCGCTTTGCACTGATATTTATTAAAGAATTTTGCACGAAATACAAACTTTTTCATTCTTCATTACAATACATTTTAACGGTTTCTATTAGGAACGCAACTATCGGATTTATGGGCGAATATACGTATTTACGAGATTGCGTTTGACGATTGAAGTAGGCTACATAATTGTCCAACATTTCTTCGGTAGGTCTTTGGGGTATTTTAAGAAGAGCTAGAGCCCTAAACGATTTGGCGTATACGGATTTAGCCATTTTCAATATGAATATCGCCGAATAATGAAACTCGGCCGCTTTTTGATAATCCCGAATTAGGAAGTGGGCCGTATCGCGCATTTTTTAATGCTCCAGCATCCGGCTCAAGATGAATACGGTGGAACTTGAGAGAAATGGCGTAATTTGAAGCCATACTTTCTGCTGGCTGCGACGAATAAATTCTAATAAGGTTATAGAGGCAACCATGTCGACGTTCTTAATAAAGGCAATATTCAAAACGTGCTCATTAATACTGGGATTTTTCTGTTTATACTGGCTGTCAACGATTGACCTGAATTTTCCACAAGAACCGCTTACCCGTTACCAAAATACGAATTTCTATTCCAACTATCCGCCGGAAATTATCGTTGAAAAATTTATCGACTGCGATGTAACGGAAATAGAAGATATAGTTTGGGGATTCTACGCCCACCGACCACCGGTGGAGCTTCCAGCGCGCCTGCGCGTCCCCGCCTGACGTGCCATCTATCGGTACCTGTCGCAGGTGTAACATCTAGGTTCGGGGACCGTCCCGCTCCCCCGCCTGGCGCGCCATCTCTCGGTACTTGGTGCAGGTGTCCGGTGCGCCATCTATAGGTTCAGTTGCCTATAATAGCCCCGGGGGGCTTTTGTAATTATCGCCCCCTGCCGTCTGTGAGACCTCTAGGTTCACCCTTAACCAATGAGAATCAATCCATTTTTCCAAGTGCGTGCCGGCGAGCCGCCAAGTGACAGGTGAAGCGTGGGTGACCGCGTCCGGCGTCCGTGGGTGCGCGGAGGTGGTGTGATCCGCGGGAGGGTGAAAAAAAAATTTGTAGGAAAAAAAAAGCCCAGTATTTATTAAAATTACAAGTTTCTGTTATTTTTTTTTTATTGAACGAGAAAAATTATACTTTATTATCTATACAAAATTCACACTCATCGGGTTTGACAAATGTTACCATTTCATTTTCGCATTTAATACAAAACCACTCAGGATAGGTTGGTTTCTCATTTTCTTCAATTGTTTTATGTAGATCAATTTTCTCGAGTCGATCCAAGGGATAAACTGGTTTCGCACACTCGAAACATAGCTCCACAATGCCATTTTCATATTCTTCTTGAGAATCGAAAGACAAACCTTCTTCATTATTCGGGCATGATTCCTGGAAGGTATTCTCGTATGTTCTAACAAATACTCTTATGTATTTTGTCAATTGACATAATTTCGTCTGGAATATATTCGATTGTTTAATTAAATTACAATAAAAATTATTAGACTTACCTTCGCTATGTCAGTTGCTGCACCAATCGTTGTTTTTTTAGTTGCCATTCTGACTGAATTATTTTTTTTAAATTTACTGTTGTGTCTAAATTCTACAAGCTCGATTATAGATCGAATGATAATCTGTTTACTTTACCGATCTCTTTATATAAAATGAAAATCGTTAATTCTTTTAAAAAGGCATATACCAACAGTAAAATCTAGAACATGTAAATTACATGTGACATTGGAAAGGATTGCCAATCCTATCGGTAGAACCTTAGCATCTATTAATGCATACATTATTGTAATTTATTACATTTTAGTCTACGACATAAATTGAAATTACCTACTGCTATTTTTTCTTTTAATAATTACAATAGCGAACAAAAAGAGAAAGGATAATCGCGTGTATAAATACGGTCCGTATAAACTTAGCGTCTTTTAGCTGCATAATTTATTGCAATTTATTACATTTTAGCTACATTTTATCATAATACATAAATTGAAATTACCTACTGCATTTTTTTATTTTAATAATTACAATAGTGAACGGAAAGAGAAAGGAAAATCAAGTGTATAAATACGGTAATTTAAGCAGATCAGTTACTAGTGACTTGTGTTTTATAAGTATTTACTTGTGCTTAGATTTTTTAAAGGTAAGATTTAGTTCGTATTATTAATTTGTAATTATCTGATTAACTTGAAAATGCCATAATTTTTCAATCCCCTGAAACTAGAATTTTAAAATATATTTTAGATGTCTTTGCAGGCACTCAACAATGTTGCCGCATTCAATTTCGCGACTCTAAAACTGTGCGATCTGGAGCCAAATAAGCCTTATCGAGTCCAACAAATCCAGGCACTGCAAACCGTTCATGGCCGAAGAGTTATTGTAGACTTGCCGGAGATTCAAAAAATTGTGTTTTTACCAGAAAGATTCAAATGTTTGACCAACGAAGAAATAGACTCGCTGAATAAGCAAAAAAGTATCAATCTGGTTTATAAAGGGAAAAAGACTCTCACAAGTGGTAAAGTGCCAAATGAACTAGAGTTCCTTGAACTCCAATAATAATTAACAAAGTAAGCTATTTCCATTAAAAATTGTATACTAATTTAGTTTTAAGTTTTTACATCTATAAAAAAACATAACATACACTAGACCTAACCCAGATAATTAGATAGCGTTACTCACTAAGCAAATCGCTAATACTAAAAATAATTAGTCAGCTCAAAGTTTCTATCATCCTTCAACTAATAAACTTAACGTGATAGTTATTCTCATCAAATAATTCAAAAATGAGCAAACGAATTAAATTAGATTGGAATATTGTTGTTGCATTCAAAGATCCTACCTTTTTGTGCATCAGGTCCCCTGAAAGTCTTGAAAAAAGAATGAGAGTCGTCGAAATTGCATTTAATGTAGTAAGCGAAAGAATAAGGAACGGCTTTATGAGTTTTTAGAGTGTAGGAATTTTCGGGATCTAAATCTTTATCTAAGGTATCAACAGGCTCAATGATTGTCTCAAAATCAGCGTAAACTACAAATGGTACCTTCAATTTTTTTTCGAAATTTTTGAATTTCAGAATATTCTCGGGAACCTCTTCTCCGTATTTATTTTTCTTCAAGTCTATTATCGGAAGTTTAACCGAAACGTGACCACAGTCGTGCTCTTGATGAGCTTTTAATTTCTGTTCGGTTGAAAAATACAGCAAGCATCCATCACACAAGTGCTTAGCCTCTTTATGTTTCGATAGTTGACTTGAAATCAAGCGAGACATGTTTGTTATTAAACAGTAGTGACTATTACCATAATCATTACTGATTAATAATAAATTCACATGTTTGACTCTTCGAGATCTAGTAAAGTGTAAGGGGCCCACAACTTCAATAATATTTCTACCATTCTCATAAACTTCATCGAGTCCGTAAACGTTGATTGAAATATTATTGAGCTGTTCAAACTTACCAACGTCTTTGAGTTTAATCGGAAATTCCAAACCTGTGAAGTCCAGCTCGTTCTCAAAAGGCGAATAGTTCGCGACTCTATTCGCATGTTGAGTATAATCGATTGGATGTAGGTGAGCCAAGACCGCCCACATGAAACACTTTTGGTCCATATTTTTTATATTTAGGACAGCTTTCTTAGCGCCAATCACTTGCGGTAGCGGCAGATAAGACGATGCTTTCAAAGGGTTGGCCTTATTTACACCTATATCTAAATGGAGTAGTTTTTGTAGCGCCCAGCCTGTAAGATAGATTGTTCATCATTTAACAGTTAATAAAAAACAAAAACATACCGCTTTCTTTTTCCTGAAACTCCACACATTTTTTATCTATGATGGCTGAAAATTGCTGGAATACCTCGTCTAAATCGGTACCATCGCTCACCAGGAGGAAGCGCCCAAAAAGCTCCATGCCGACTTTAATATGACCAAATATTTTGACATTATCCCCTACCAGCTTGAAAAATTTTGGTTTCAAATGTTTTAAAAATTCTTTTAGGCTGGTAGGGTGCTGTTTTGAAGAAAGCCGGTACGTAACAATTCGGTTCTTGAAAGAGGTTCTTACGAGCTGTACGCCTTCCTCCTGCTCCACACAAGTGTTCGTCCGGTGTTGGATACTCCGCAGATGCCCAGCCCATCGACTGGTTGGAATCTGCAGGTCACAATCCGAACAACTACGCGTAGATGACGTGGAAGCTGAAATAATAAATTAGCAAAAAACTATACAAACGTCACGAAAAACTCACCAGTAGAATGATCAAGTCTAGCTTGTTTAGCCATGGGGACCGACGAATTTTCAGCCTTGCGTTTGGGGGCCCTAGGGTTTTTCTGTTTCAGATGACGTTGGAGAGCCCCCTCTGATTTAAAGATTTCTCCACATTGCTCGCAAATTTTCACAGCTGCTCTGCAGTCCCCATGACGCTTCAAACTATCCTTCCTGGAAAACGATTTGGCGCAGTATTCGCAGTTGAGCATTTTTCCCTAAAAAGCAAAAACATCAATCGCCCACTTTTATTTAAATATTATTAAATTATACTAACTGGCAAGGTCTGCGATTTCGAACGTTTGATTTTTCATAGCATTCACTATGAAAAATCAAACGTTCACTTTTATTTAAAGAATAATTATTTACTCATGATTTTAAAAGTGAATGTAAAAAAAGTCAAAAGACTGACTGATCAAGCATTCGGATGTTCCTAAGCTCCCAATAAGACTGTAGTTGGCAATTACATTCTAATCGAAAGCATGGGATCATGCAATCTTTTTTCCTCTGTTTCCCTTCTTTTTTCTCTCGGTCTTTCTCATTGTATTTGTCGAGATTTCAAGATAGATAATAAAATAACGATTTGTTTGTTTGATTATTTTTTTTATTATTAAAAATTACATAATACTACTAAAAAATTAGAATCTTTGAATGCAACAACAATATTCCAATCTAATTTAATTCGTTTGCTCATTTTTGAATTATTTGAAGAGAATAACTATCACGTTAAGTTTATTAGTTGAAGGATGATAGAAACTTTGAGCTGACTAATTATTTTTCGTATTAGCGATTTGCTTAGTGAGTAACGCTATCTAATTATCTGGGTTAGGTCTAGTGTATGTTATGTTTTTTTATAGATGTAAAAACTTAAAACTAAATTAGTATACAATTTTTAATGGAAATAGCTTACTTTGTTAATTATTATTCGAGTTCAAGGAACTCTAGATCATTTGCCACTTTACCACTTGTGAGAGTCTTTTTCCCTTTATAAACCAGATTGATACTTTTTTGCTTATTCAGCGAGTCTATTTCTTCGTTGGTCAAACATTTGAATCTTTCTGGTAAAAACACAATTTTTTGAATCTCCGGCAAGTCTACAATAACTCTTCGGCCATGAACGGTTTGCAGTGCCTGGATTTGTTGGACTCGATAAGGCTTATTTTGCTCCAGATCGCACAGTTTTAGAGTCGCGAAATTGAATGCGGCAACATTGTTGAGTGCCTGCAAAGACATCTAAAATATATTTTAAAATTCTAGTTTCAGGGGATTGAAAAATTATGGCATTTTCAAGTTAATAAGATAATTACAAATTAATAATACGAACTAAATCTTACCTTTAAAAAATCTAAGCACAAGTAAATACTTATAAAACACAAGTCACTAGTAACTGATCTGCTTAAATTGCCGTATTTATACACTTGATTGTCCTTTCTCTTTCCGTTCACTATTGTAATTATTAAAATTAAAAAATGCAGTAGGTAATTTCAATTTATGTATTATGCTAAAATGTAGCTAAAATGTAATAAATTGCAATAAATTATGCAGCTAAAAGACGCTAAGTTTATACGGACCGTATTTATACACGCGATTATCCTTTCTCTTTTTGTTCGCTATTGTAATTATTAAAAGAAAAAAGGCAGTAGGTAATTTCAATTTATGTCGTAGACTAAAATGTAATAAATTACAATAATGTATGCATTAATAGACGCTAAGGTTCTACCGATAGGCAATCCTTTCCAATGTCACATGTAATTTACATGTTCTAGATTTTACTGTTGGTATATGCCTTTTTAAAAGAATTAACGATTTTCATTTTATATAAAGAGATCGGTAAAGTAAACAGATTATCATTCGATCTATAATCGAGCTTGTAGAATTTAGACACGACAGTAAATTTAAAAAAATTAATTCAGTCAGAATGGCAACTAAAAAAACAACGATTGGTGCAGCAACTGACATAGCGAAGGTAAGTCTAATAATTTTTATTGTAATTTAATTAAACAATCGAATATATTCCAGACGAAATTATGTCAATTGACAAAATACATAAGAGTATTTGTTAGAACATACGAGAATACCTTCCAGGAATCATGTCCGAATAATGAAGAAGGTTTGTCTTTCGATTCTCAAGAAGAATATGAAAATGGCATTGTGGAGCTATGTTTCGAGTGTGCGAAACCAGTTTATCCCTTGGATCGACTCGAGAAAATTGATCTACATAAAACAATTGAAGAAAATGAGAAACCAACTTATTCTGAGTGGTTTTGTATTAAATGCGAAAATGAAATGGTAACATTTGTCAAACCCGATGAGTGTGAATTTTGTATAGATAATAAAGTATAATTTTTCTCGTTCAATAAAAAAAAAATAACAGAAACTTGTAATTTTAATAAATACTGGGCTTTTTTTTTCCTACAATTTTTTTTTTCACCCTCCCGCGGATCACACAATCTCCGCGCACCCACGGACGCCGGACGCGGTCACCCACGCTTCACCTGTCACTTGACGGCTCGCCGGAACGCACTTGGAAAAATGGATTGATTCTCATTGGTTAAGGGTGAACCTAGAGCTCTCACAGATGGCAGGGGGCGATAATTACAAAAGCCCCCCGGGGCTATTATAGGCAACTGAACCTATAGATGGCGCACCGGACACCTGCACCAAGTACCGAGAGATGGCGCGTCAGGCGGGGAAGCGGGACGGTCCTCGAACCTAGATGTTACACCTGCGGTAGGTACCGATAGATGGCACGTCAGGCGGGGACGCGCAGGCACGCTGGAAGCTCCACCGGTGGACGGTGGGCGTAGAATCCCCAAACTATTTTTGTTTCGAGCAGTCTATCACAAATAATGCCCTATTTGAAAAATCTTCAAAGTCCAATAATGGTTCACTATTGGTTTTACCCAAATACGTGCTCTCTTGATCGTTGAGGCATAAGAGATTCCGCACTGTGCTAGTGAGTCCGGGATCTCGGATTCTCTCAATTTCCTTGCCGTTTAATTCGTAGGTGATGGATTCGAAAAGAAATGCTCCCGCATTAATTGTTAGATTACATTTTCCTGTTTTCCCAGCGGTAGTGTCTTCGTGAAACTTTCCTTCGATATAGATTTCGGCTTGGCTGATATCCATAAACACGTCTTGCTGATTGATAACAATTTCGATTTCGTCATTATAGTTGAAAGAGTTAGTGAAAGGATGGTAGGTATGCCATTCTTCTCTAGCTATGGACTCATCGGTGTTGACCGACTGAAATATTCGCAGTTTTTCTGATGTGGCCATATTTAGAGGCCAGAGAATTCAACCGGATCAGACTTTTGTGTGTGAGCGCTTGCTTCGATGCCTGAGTACAGACTGAGTTACAGTTATTGAAACCACTATTTAAGTAGCCGCGATTAAAAACCAGGACGATACTTCTTCAGCTCTAATCTCACTATAATCTCTTCTCCTCTAAAATTAACAGGTCTTGCTTCTTGATCGAGTATATTGATTGTTAAATTATCGATGCTGTTTCTATTGAGGAAGATAGATCAAGTTTCGAGGATCAACTATAATTCTGTATCCAGGATCAACAGCTGGTGTAAACTCGTAGATCGTATGGAATGGATTACTAGTGCAGTAGGAGCCTGAAACGATGTTGCACTCAATCCTTATAGTTGCCACTGATATGATCTCTACGGGCAGATCGGATTCGTGCAAAGAATTGGCTTTCAGAGGTTTTTCTGAGAATCCCAAAAGTTTTCCAATACTATCCTTGGGTTTGAAATTAATATCGTATATGCACTTTAGCATACACTTTAATGTATTATTGTTTGGTTTGAGAGAAATCTGTTCTATTACAGTTGCATTTGATAATTGGTTTAGTAAAAAGGCTTCAATATCTGCAACCTCGTACGATCCAGTTGGAATTTCCAATTGTTTTTCCTTTCCTTCTTCGCTATAGTAGAACTTGTTTCGGCCTGGTTCAATGTTGGGAATGGAATTCCAAGTAGTGAACGAGATGAGAGCCAATGAATAGCTATAACCAGGATCGAGCTCGATAGGTGGAGTAAAATCAACGCTCAAGCAACTGGTTCGACCTTTTAACGTGAATGTCTGAGACATGACTAAGCTAACATTAACACGATGCCACATTTATATCGAACTATTAAACAAGAAGCTTAGTACAAGATGGCCGCAATTGTACGAGTTATAGGACTGATACTGGTCGAAATTGAAAACTATCTTACATTTTTTAAAATAACGAACTAGTTCATTCGGAGTATTGAGGTTCCTGCAACTGTCAAAGTAAATCACTTTATCGCCACTTTTTTTATAGGCTACCCAATGCGTTCCCGACCCCGTATTTGTGTCCAAATTAACTACACCACATTCGTTTTTGTTGGGACGCGATGGTAAGTTATCTCGCATAAACACGCCTCTAAAATTGGAAATTTCAAGTTTTTTAACGTATCGTTTGATATCCTGATCACTAAGTGGCCGCTTGGGTAGCTTTATTGGTAGTTTTTTGGCATCTTTTTCAAATAGAGTCCATATCCGGTCTTGTGTTTGGCTAAATATAATCCATTCTCCTTTTTTCCCAATGCAATGGCTGCCATCGTTTGGTTGTGACGTTTAGACTAGGCGAGTTTATCTTTGGCAGAACGGGTATCGTTGACAGCTTTCGCAATACTGGCGGCACCGCCAGATAATGCCCCGAGGGCACTGAGCCCGGCAAAGAGAGGAATCAGCGGAATAATGCCGCCTAATTTCGGTACTGGAATAACTCGCGGAACTTTGATATTCCGACGTCCGCCAGCCGTTCTAATAGTCTTACGAGCTGCCTGAAGAGCCGATTTAATAAAGTCTTTGATTCCTCCCCCACGATGCTTCATTTGCTTTCTCACATTAGAAACCACGTACGAACTGAAGGGTTTCAATTTTTTCGGTCGACCCATACCGAGTTTACGTTTAGCTTTCATTGCAGTAGTTACGAACCAAGCAGCACTTTTTTCGCCGAAACTAGCGTCTTTAGCCTTAACTCGTTCCCACGATTTATTCTCCAACACTTTATCAGCCCGATGTCTCTGGATGGAACAAATGTTATGCTTAGTCTTTTAACCGATGAAAACGCTCTTAGATTCAGAAACGTCTATGTTTATTCCAAATCATTGAATCAGGATAAGTATAAGTTCCTAGAAGCGGTTTTAAAACGGGTTGCCGGTGTAAAATTTTACGGATACAGTGATAATGAAACCGTTGTAGATCCGCAAACAGCTCAGCCAGATTCGGTGTTTATCTTTGACGTAGTAGCCTGCGAGAAAAAAGGACAAGATAAGGAACTACTTTTGCATGGGCCGCCATAACGCTATTGACTCTTTCTATCTTTACCAGAAGTATTCGAAAATCCCGAAACAATTGGTTAGAGATAATGCTAACATGTTGGTACTTTTCAAGCAGGATGATACGAACCTGAAACATGTATATGACGATCATGTAAACACAGATATATCTTTTGATACGTTCAAGCAAATATGTAGAGAGTGTTGGAAGGACAGATACGGATTCTTGGTTATTGTTAAGGATGACGATATTACGAAGGGTAGGTATCGATGCCAGTTCGACACCTATGTATCTCCATAAAAGACAAGTACTCCTCAGTATCCGTTAGGGCATTGCTGTGTACACACCTCTGCAAAAGCTCTATCATAGCTGTCTCTGAACCTGTGTAGCACTATACAGATCATCTTAAAACCAATAGCAGACCAGTCTCTCGACCTGTTTCGCAGTCTAAAAGCTGTCTCCTGTCCTATGTACCAGTATACAGGTCATTCTAAAAGCTAACCAGTATAGCTGTATAGCTGTATACAAGTCTGTATAAAAGCTGGTCCTGTCTTCAGTTGATCATCATGAATCCAAGCGAAGTTGATAAAAATATCCAGAAAAAAATACTGAATGCTGCTAGATCTATAAGGAAAAAGTATTTGGCCTTAAAACTAGAGAGAAACGAGGAAGATGAGGCACTCAATAGGATAATGAACCCTTCAACAGACCCTCTAAAAGAGCTTGTTAAAAAAGCGGTTAATGGAAAAACCCGAATCAAACACGAAAAAATTAAGCAGGAAGCTCCTGGAACACACGTTAAATTTAAACCGAAAATTCTTGAAAATGTTGAGTTTCAGCCAACAGAGGTTCTTGCTCAAACAAGTGCGAATTTAAAAAGTGATGATGATGATGAGGATGTCTTCTATGAACCGTCGTTAGAAGGGTTGAAAGAGGAACTACAGAAATCGATTCACGAAAGATCAGGAGCATATGAAGAATTTTTGGATCAGTATCCCAAAGTAGCCCAAGAGTATGTGGATAAATACTATAAAGATTCAGATGAAATAGATCATTCTTATGGCTTAAAACATGATATGAGAACTGACGATTGGTCTATGGGATCACGAAAAGTCAAATTTCTCTCGAGTGGAGATATCAAGGTGGGACCCGTTACTTATCGAGGAACACAGGGCCTATATGATCTACTGTTTTTGAAGAAGCCTCTATATCAGACGGCGGACGATAAGTTGCAGTTCAAGGATATTTTAGACAGAACCAATGCTCATCGAAGAGACTTTGATCCATCCAAGCAAGTTAAAGGATCCGTATCCTCAAAATATAAAGACGTTGTAAAACCCCTTCTTTCGGCATCATCTGAAGTGAAAAGGCTGAAATCGAGTAGCAGTGCCTCGCCATCTGGCCGAAATCCATCTACAAGAGCTAAAACTAAATCCGGAAGTGCTTTATTGTTGAAATATAATAAGAAACCAAAACAGTATGTTTATTACCAATTGATTGAAAGACTTGCTAAATTGGATGCATCGCAAGAAGCTAAAAATACTAATAACATCAATGAAATTATGAGTATTTTAGAGGAATTGGTTGAATTGGATGTGATTGCGTTTAATAAATAGACTCATCTGACTTATCTAACAATCATTGCAGGACTAAACTCGATCAAGCTTGGATCTCCTAACCACAGCCATAATATGACCAGTATCACTAAAGCCCGAGAGCAGGTGGTTGAAGAACTACATAAACCGGCACGTGAAAAGTTCAATCGTAGAAGAGTTATACAGTATGGTCTGGATGATACTTTTGCTACAGATTTAGCCCAGCTTGATCAGTATGCTCGAGAAAACAAAGGATTCAAGTATATACTGGTTGTTATTGATTGTTTCTCTAAATACCTCTGGACTAGAGCTCTAAAGTCTAAATCAGCACAGGATGTTACCAAAGCCATGGAGAACATACTGAAAACTTCTGGAAGAATACCCAAGAAACTTATTTCTGATAATGGAAAGGAATACTATAACAGTCAATTTTTAGGTCTTATGCAGAAACATGGGATACATCA